CAGCAATGTGTACCGAACTAATGAACATATAAATATTGGCTTCAATATTTAATGGCCGTACCCATGATCTTTACCGGGAATCCGTAGCAAAACGGAAACCAATTTTAGTGGAAACTATGACTTACATCGCATCATTGGACATGCATCATATTAGTTTGATAGTTTCTTGCTTGAATGTTGCTAATGGTTTATTTTCATATTGTGATGCGACTGATTGCGCTCGTGTGAATAAGGCGCCCAAATCCGGATTAAGCAATTGCGGGGCGTGGTTATTGGAACAAACCGAAATTGCCAATCACGGAACGTATAAGAGCTACGCAATAGTGACCTGAGGTAGATACAATGGCGCAGAGCAAATACACACGACATATTGGAACGATATCGAAAAGAGCATTGAAAAAACATAGCAGAAAATGGGAAATCCGGGCTGCTGAGCCACGTTGCTCGTCGGAATTCTTTCACAACCAACGCCGGAACCAATTACATTTTTTTTTTCGTGCGTATTGTCTGCCATTCCTTACCAAAGCCATAGACGCATTTTTAAATTTACACCTGGGATACGCACAACTCTATCAAGACAATAATTCGGTTATACATGCCGATCAACCACAAGATTTACGAATCGCCCAAACAAAAACAATGCTCGAAAATTATACCGGGACAACCGCATCCTCACGTAGATAATTACCGCATTTCCGGTCGCACTGGGCAAGAATACCAAAAGGATCCCAAGTCCTTACGGCTTACTTCCGTCCGCTCTGCTTTTGCCCCCTTCCCCATCCGTCCTTTGTCTTCCCATCTCCACCCCAAATGGTGCCGCCGCACGTCCTCCTGGAAGCCTGATCCGCCTTTGGTTCCTCCTTCTTAAGGGAGAGGAGCTCATCGCGCATGGCGTCCACTATTTTGCGTTGGAAGGGCCCACCAACACCTGCTTGAAAATAATTGCCTGCCTGGGGGCCAGTGCCCCACATCCTCTACACTTCCGCGCGTAGGTGTCACCGACTCCGCGCGAGCATGATCACAAACCGTTGCCTTGCTTCCACTGTCCCTGCCAGTCCGCCGCGGGCGCCATGGCTGGATAGCACTCGCGCGAGGGTGACCCGAATGCCGAACAACAAGCTGCTCTGACTGCCGCGGACTAGCGGTGTTCTTTTGACCAGAAGGGCGGCGGCCCCGTGAGGTTGACATCTTGAACCAAAATGGCTACGGAGGGGCCGCAAAAGGCCCCCCAAAGGCTCGAAGAGGCCCACCAGGGGCCCCAAGAGGCCCCCTAACGGCCCCTAAAAGGCTTCAAAAGTGCTGCCAGGAGGCACCTACCAAGAGCCCCCCAAGGGGCCGGCAGTGCGGCGTAAACCCAAAAATCTCCGATCCAACTCCTGGAAACAACTCTTATCATACACCTGGAAAATTTACCGAAATCCACAACAAACGCATCACATTGCTGGAACATTCCCGGGAGCCACCACGATTCCGAAACAACTCCGATTTAACTTGTAGGACATCGGAAAATTCCGGAACACATGATCACACTTTCAGAAAAAAGGCAGACAAGCATCCGATCAAATCCCCAAGATATCCCAAAACTCAAGACAAGCTCGTATCAAACTCCAGGACACTTCCCTGGGAAATGCAGAAAGTCAGAAAACAAATCGCATCACATTTTCATGAAGTCGGAGAAACGATTTCGAACATGAAACTGACATTGCAATTTGACTAAATATAGACTGGGCGACCACAATGCCAAGAGGCACGAATTGGAATGTCTCTTGATTCCTTGGAGTTCTGTAGTTCGCGGCCGAGAGGGCACCACAACGGGTAAAATTCCAAGACGCACCCGACACGGCCCAAAATCGTCGAAAAGTCGATCCAAGACGCTATCATAATTTCCGCACGCTCCAAAAAGGTACCGAAGACGCAGCACGAAGATTCCAAGAACACTCCCACGGAGGCCTGAACGGCAAACAAATATGTCTTGGCGGATTCGAATGCCTATGCCTTTTCGGGGCATCACTGTTTCAAGACAGCCCAAGAGCCCCACAGGCCACCAATATCGCTTCAATACGGCACTAAAACTTCCCAAGAGAGCTTCAACACAACTCGAGACGGACCAAAAACATCGCCAAAACGGGTCTCAAATGGCCTCCCGAAGGCCTCCGGGCGTCCCCACGGAGCCCAAAACAGGCCACCAAAAGCACCACAAGGCCTACACTAGGTCACAAGAAGCTCCCGAACCACCTGCCGAGAGGACACCCAAAGAGACTCCGCAAACATCCAACAAACCTCTGGCCTGCGCCTTGAACTCAGCAACGGAATGGGCCTCAACAATATAACGTTACGGCAATAACCGAAACGGAATGACAATAGAAACCAAACCTACATCAAACATCGGAACACAACTACCACAACGACGTAAACGGAATCATCATACATACCGGAAGGTACACTGCCTGAAGAAGCCGACACGCACATCATTGTACGTACCGAAAATTTGTTCGCCAACCGTACAACCGATTCATACAACCGATTTCTGGATCAAGAGGAAGACGATTTCCAAACCAATTTACAAGCCTCACACAGACTAGAGTGAGGCAACCGAACCGTTATTCATTCTCTCTGGGTGCGTGGCAACACTGGCGTTCAGTCCACAAAAATTGTCGTCGTCCTCATCCGCGACACGCCCGCGACCCAACCCGCGACCCGCCCTGCGACTCACCCGCGACCCACCCGCGATCCACCCCGCGCCCGCTCCCCGCACTCTCATCTGCAACTGCGGGGTGCTACGACTGGATCCAGAATGGGGTCTGACCCGAGTGCCTGTCCTGGCATGCAGCTTTCGCAGCAAACACACGGCCGCCCGACCTGCCAAGCGAATGCTGAGCTGGGCTATCGGCAACACTGCTGGCAGTTCCACGCAAATGGTGCGGCAAAACACGCCGCTCATGCCTGATTAATTCGTACTTTACCAGCCCAGGGCCGCCGTGCGAATGCCATCTCAACAGTAAAGGCCCGCGTTCATTCCTCCCTCCTCCCTCCTCCCTCCTCCCTCCTGCCTCCGCCCTCAGCCCTAACTCCTCCCTCCTCCCTCCCTCTCCCTCCTCCCCCCCTCCTCCCCTCCTCCCTCCTCCCTCCTCCCTCCTCCCCCCCCTCCTCCCTCCTCCCTCCTCCCTCCTCCCTCCCTCCTCCCTCCTGTGAAACCCATTTGGAGGCCTCTGACCTACGACCCACGCGCGGTGACAGGATGGGCGGAAAGCCACTAGATACTGGACGTACTCGGCCCTGTGATGCAATGTAATGCGGAGGAGAGGGCATATCAACAACTGGATCAACGCGGTGGTCACCACCCTCGACTTCGACTACGACAACTGCTACTACGACTTCAATCCCAACAACCACCCACTATGATACCATCCAGTACGCCTCGTAAAGTGAGGTAAAAGAAACGATGATGATGATGATGATGATGATGACGAGGACGAGGAGGAGGAGGAGCAGGAGGAACATCCTTCTCCTCCTCCTCCTTCTGCTTTTCCTGCCTGCGAGGGACGATCTCCCTCCCCCTTCCCGGCGCTCTTGGCACGCCCAGAACGGGGATGGAGACACTGGGGACGATGCCGACGGCGGCCGCTGTTGGGCAAGCGGCGCTCGTCCCACCTGCAGGGACAACGTCTGCGGTGACGCCAACGGCCAGCCCCGCCTCAAACTGACAGGAGCTGCTGCTGGCTCTTCGTTCCCGTCAATTCGCTTTCGTCCCGACCGTCTCGAACCTCCCGGCCCCCTTCCCCCCGCGCGGCCCTCTTGGGCGGGACTGATCTTCCTGGGCCCCGTGAGGCCCAGGCGCCGCCGGGGGAAGCATCCACGCGGAGGTGGAACGTCAATCCAGGAGATCCGCGCGGACACTCCAAAGTTAATGCGTCAGCACGGTAAGGCGGCGTTGGCGCGCCAGCGACGCCAGCGAAGGCGTTCAAGGTTGAAATCTGCAACGCGGAAGGGCCGACCACATCGTAACGACGTTGGAACCGACGAAATTCAATCTTACACGATCGGGGCCGCGATCGATTCAAGGTTGAACGATCGATGCCGTGTCAATAACCTTTGCGCGCGTCGACGCCGCGCGAACCTATCGTAGATCTTTTCCCTTTACGCAGGCCTCTGGAGACCTCAGGAGGGCCCCTCTTTCACTCTCTCCTCCTAGGAGGGCCCAGAATCGAATTGGAAAAGCGGATCGGAGGAAATCGGCAGCCGAGTCAGGAGGAATCGGATTGGCGGACATCGGCAGGCTAATCAGGGAGGTCTCCGCTAGGACATCGGAGCCCAAATTGGAACTCGAAGCCGAAAAGGCATCGAGACCGAGGAGTCGAAACGAGTCCTGTTGTCAGGGGGGCCCCTCTTCGCTTCTTTGGAGGTAGGAACAAGGGGTGTGGCATAAAGGGGCTTGGTGCCAGTCGTGGAAACTGCGATCGCCAGATTCAGCAGTGGCACCACAACCCCCAAAACCACACAAATCGCGACGACCCGGGGTGGGGGAACGGCTTCTCCCGGCGGCGCGCCCAGGGGGGCAGGCAGAAGGGGCGGGCCTCCCCAGAAGGCTCAGAAGGCCGGCCTCCCCCTCCTCCGCCTCCGCCTCACCCTCCGCAGACTCCTCCTCCTCCTCCTTCGCCTCCTCCTTCGCCTCCTCCTCCGCCTCCTCCTCCTCCGCCTCCTCCGCCTTCTCTGCCTCCTCCCCCTCCTCCTCCCCCTCCTCCTCCGCCTCCTCCTCCGCCTCCTCCGCTTCCTCCTCCTCCCCCTCCCCCTCCTCCTCCCCCTCCCCCTCCCCCTCCCCCTCCTCCTCCTCCTCCTCCTCCTCCGCTTCCGCCTGCGCCTGCGCCTGCGCCTCCGCCTCCTCCTCGGCCAGCTTTGGCGCGGCGCGCCCCATGAAGCGCCGGGGCACCCCCTCGGGGCGCAGGGCGCCCAGCTCCAGGGCCGCGCACGCGAACGGCGCAGGGTCGCGGGAAGCGAGGGCCTCACGAGCCGCCCAGGCCGAGCCCCACGGCGGCCTCGGCCGCTCGCCACCGCGCGCCACCGCCGCCGCCGCCGCCGCAAGCGTCGAGATGCTCGACGACGCCGACGACGAACGATCCGCGCGCGCGGAGGTCTCCGTCGCCGTTCTTCGAAGACTTCGAGAGTGAAAGAGAGGGAGGAACACCTTTTGCTAACCTTTCAAATTTCTTCACCCCCACTTTGCCCACCCGGGCTTCGGGCTCGCGAGGCTTGACACTAAAGACAGCATCAGGGCATCTTGCAGCACAGGAAGCCTGAGCAGGCGACCCCTTCCGCTGCCGATGAAAGGCGCCGCCTCGCCCGAAAGATTACCCCCGCCGCCAGCTCGGGGCTGGGGGCTCAAAACTTCTGGACATCTCGGCCCTCTTCGTGCCTCTGGGCAGCATCCAAGGAGCCTCTGGACATGCAGCTCTGAAGACCTCCGCGCGCGCGCCTCGTCCCCGCCTCGTCCCCGCCGCCGCCGCCGCCGCCGTCGTCGTCGTCGTCGTCGTCGTCGTCGTCGTCGTCGTCGTCGTCGTCGTCGTCGTCGTCGTCGAGGTCGAGGATCGACCCTCGAGGATCAACATCTATGGCCGCTCTGGGAGAGTTAGTTCTTCAGGCCGTAGGAAGCCTTCGGGGACCGCCGTCGCCGTCCTCCTCCGCCGTCGCCGTCCTCCTTGTCGTCCACCCTCTTCCCCTCGCCCTGCGCCCCCCCCATGCCCCCCTCCCTCCCTCCCGCCGCCGCCGATGCCTCGGCCCTTTGCCGTTCATCGCCCCGGATGGCCGTCGCCGCCGATGCCCGATACCGCCGCAAGGTCGTGGCCCGAGCACGCTCCAGGAGAGCAGGGACCGACCGTCCTGGCATTCCTGTAGGCCTATCACGAAGTTTTCTCAGAAACCAAACATGTTCGAACAACAAAAACATGATTCTTAGAACATAGGCCCGATGTATTAAAACAAGACAATCCCAACCATAACTGCTCTAAGAACATTTCGTAGAAACCACACAAGGTTCTTAAACTATTGTTTGGTGGGCCTACTGGCACGTCAGGACGCTTCGCCACTGCTTGATCCAGGAGAGGTCCAGGGGTCGATCTGGGAGGTTGTCGTTGCCGTCCGCCGAGAATCGGCTTAAGGTCGGTCCCAAGAGCCGCGCGGGCCGGTGCAGCAGAGGCATTCACTCGGCTCATCTTCGCGTGGCATATTCACTTTAACGCAAGATTGTGCAGGTCAAGCGTGCCGTTTACGCAACTTGTGCGGCGGGCAGCAGCAACTGTCTGAGGGTGGGGAGCTTAGGCGCTGCATGGGCTAGGAAGTGAGGTGGAGAACGAGACTCCCTGAACCGCTCTAAATATCCATCCCAGCCAATTCTCCGAGCTGCGTCCAGCCGCGGTGACGAACATGTGCGAAACGAGCCCGTCGACGCCGAAAACGACGACGTCTTCCTCTACGTCTTTCTCCTCACCTCTTCCTCCTCATGAGCTGGGTTGGGCTGAGATGTGGCTGGGACCCCCCCCCCCCGGTCTTGGAATCCAGGCGTCCGAGTGGGGAGGGACGAAATGGGGAGGCAGATGGAACGAGGACGCGGAAGATGAGAAGGGGAGATTTGGGAGACTTGGACCTCCCGAAGCGGTGCGGTGACAAGCCGTGCGGTGGCTGCGGAATTTCCACCAAAGATCTCACCGTCACTCGTCGGCGAGCGAGGGGGGGAAATGAGAAGGGGCGGGCCTTCTCAGAAGGCTCGGAAGCCCCCCGGGCCTTCTGAGAGGTTCTCTGAGCCTTCCCCGAAGACGCCGAAAACTCCTCAGAAGGCGCGAGGCCTTCTGAGAAGCCTCGCCGCCTTCTGAGAAGGCCTTCTCCTTCCCACTCCCCCCCTCGCTCGCCGCCGAGTCACTGGACGGCTTGGGGACCCTGGGGGCCCCCGTCGCCCCCGAGGTCCTCGGAGAACGGCCAAAATACCCCGAGCCGTGCGGCGACCCCACGTTCCCACTGGCTCACCTCACGGTGCCGTCACCGCCAAACTAAAGGGGCCCAGGGACACACAACTTCACATAGACACAAATCCCAGGCTTCCCCAGATTTTCACACATTTTCTGGGTCTTCGTCTTCCCCCCACTTCCCATATTTTCCCATATTTTCCAGGGAGTCGACGATCAATTGTGTCTCTCTGTGTGTGTTTCCCCTTCCCAAAAATGTTTGCACCCTCGAGAGAAAGGGGGAGGGACGGGGAAGCTGAAGGGCGGGGAGTGTAAACACATGAAGACTAGAACCACGCGCGCGCTTCGCGCGCGCGCTTAGGTTCTGTCGAGTCACAGACCCAGGAATCCTCCTCCTCCTCCTCCTCCTCCTCCTCCTCCTCGTCTTCCTCCTCATCCTCGTCCTTTCCCGAGCGATACAACAACAACTTGCGTGGAACCCCTCTCGGGCCCATCTTGGGGCTCTCTCGGGCCGCCTTTGGAGCCTTTTGCGGCGTCCTGGGTCTCTCGTGGGGGCTTCTTGGAGCTCTCTTGGCGCCTCCTGGAGCCTCTTGGGGCCGAAAGCTTGGAATTCTACAGTGGCTTTCTCCCTCTGGGACCCCTCTCGGGCACGCCTTGGGGCTCTCTTAGGCCATTTTGGAGTCCAATTTTGCCGTCCTGGGCGCCTCGTGAACCGTCTTGGAACTCTCTTGGGGGCCACCTAGGCCGTCTTGGGAGCCTCTTCGGACGTGTTGGACGCGGTGAAAACCCAACAGGCGACCATGCGAAAAGTATACGTTTTCCCATAGGAATGGGACCATTTTTGCTTCTTGGACCTCTCTTGGGGTGCCTCTCGGAACGTCTTGGGCTGATTTTGGAAGCCTTTTGGCGCCTCTGGGCGGCGTTTTGGCGCCTCCTGGGATGTGTTGGGCCGGAAGCTCGGAATTCGAGAGTGGCTTTCTCCTTCTGGGACCCCTCTCGAAGTCGTCTTGGGGTTCTCTTGGGCCGTCTTGGGGCCGTCCTGAGCCACTCGTGCGCAGCCTTGGAGCGCTCCCGGAGGCCTCCTAGGCCGTCTTGGAGGCCTCTTGGGCCGTCTTGGACGCGGTGAAAGCCCAAGATGCGAACATGCGAAAAATATACGTTTTCCCATAGGAATGGCACGATTTTTGTTTCTTGGACCTCTCTTGGGGTGCCTCTCGGAACGTCTTGGGGTGCTTTTGGGAGCCTTTTGGCGCCTCTTGGCGGCATTTTGGCGCCTCCTGGAGCCTCTTGGGCCGGAAGCTCGGAATTCGAGGTTGGCTTTCTCCGTCTGGGACCCCTCTCGAACTCGTCTTGGGGCTCTCTTGGGCCGTCTTGGGGCCGTCCTGGGCCACTCGTGCGCAGCCTTGGAGCGCTCCCGGAGGCCTCGTAGACCGTCTTGGGCGCCTCTTGGGCCGTCTTGGACGCGGTGAAAGCCCAAGAGGCGAACATGCGAAAAATATACGTTTTCCCATAGGAATGGCACGATTTTTGCTTCTTGGGCCTCTCTTGGGCTGCCTCTCGGAGCGTCTTGGAGGCTTCTGGGACCTTCTTGGTGTCATGACAGGCGTCTTGGAAGGCATCTGGAGCCATCGGAGCGCGTTCCGAAGCCGCCTGCGAACGATCTTGGACGGCGTCCGGCGGTCCGACGAGCCTCCGGGCCCCCCGGGGCCCACATTTGCGGTCGGGGTCCCGGCCCCGGGCCCCCGGACCCGGTGCGCCGTTATATGTATATGATGATGATGCAGCTGCTGCTGCTGCTGCTGATTTCTCCAGCGCTGAACTCTAGTATTTCGTGGCACGGCGAAATGTGGGCTCGCCCCAGACTCTTCGAACTGGGGTTGTAACCTCGGTGGTAATCGCTCCCGAGCCCCTGGCAACGGGTTGACATGCTATGCTACACCTGGCATTCTACTGCAGACGAGAAAAACTTCAAACCTCTTGTCGCTCATGCTCAGGAGGAGGATGAGGAGGAGGACGAGAACTCCAAACAGCACAGAAACATACAATTCCCAGGGACCGCGCGGATTTCTCGGGTTGGCGTTGGACCCCCCCTCGGGGAAACGCTGATCTCGGTGAGCGCCAACTGGGGTCGGCCCGTGCCTTGCCGCGAATCTTGGCCGGCCCCACCGTACAGAAAGCAGCCATGTCTCCACTTTGGCCCCGGAGCGCCCGGGTGCACGAGACGCGCCAGAGGAACGACCATAGAAGGACCCGGGGAACAGCGAGCCCCTTCCGAACCCGAGGGGCTGCTTATGTCTTCGGACGCCCGAGATGGGTACGGAAACAATGGGTACCTTGCCCAACAACAACTCATGTCCCAAACCAACAGCGGCCGCTGTTGGGCAGGCGGCCTCCTGTCTCAAATGGACACAGGCCGCGGCGCCGCGGACAGCGAGCCCTGTCCCAGATGAACGGGAACTGGTGTTGGGCATTGTTGAAGGGGCCCTGGGACACACAAATAAATACACAGAAATAAACAGATTCCCCATATTTTCCCATATTTTCTGGGTTTTTTGTCTTCCCCACCACTTCCCATATTTTCCCATATTTTCTGGGGAATCGAGGATTAATTGTGTCTGTGTTTTTTTTCCTCTCCTGAATTGTACCCATCCCTTTCCGTACCCGTTTCGCTCGAGCCAAATGTCGGCGGCGTCTTGGCTGCAGCTCCCGGGCCCGGCCCGGCGGAGGCAGGCTTAGATGGGGCGGGCGGGCGCCGCGCGGCTCCCGAGCCTGGGCGGGCTCGCCGAGGGAGCGGGTCGGCTGCCCTTTCGCGAGCGCTGGGCCTCGTCTCACGTGCGCCCCGACCCCCGTGTCTCGGGCCGGGCGAAAGGGGGGGATGGCAAAGGGGGGGTCTGAGAACCAGCTCACGTAGCTGAGTTTCCCGGCGCCTCCCGGCGCCCATGTGTCGAGGAATGGGCCCGGCGGCGGGGCCGAAACCAGCTGCATGCAGCAGATTTCGTTCCCCCCGCTTTCCCCATCCCCCCGTTTCGTTCGGCCCGAGTGTCCCACACACCCGTCGGTCGGGAGCACTGGGCAGAAACATGGGGCAGGAGGGCTCCGCAGGCAGACTGGATCACCGCCCGCCCCCCTGGAGGGCAGTGGGAGCGGGACGACCGCTCGGCACTTCGAGCAGGACGGCGCCTGCAGCATACTGGAGCCTACAGCATACTGGAGGTGGGCACCCCCTCAGAAGCCCGCGGGGCGCGCCGCGGGCGGCGCAACTCTCCTCGACGTCCACCCCGTCCTTGTCTTCCCCCCCCCGCCTGCTTCCCCCTCCTGCTCTTCTTCTTCTTCTTCTTCCTCCTCCTCCACCTCCTCCATCTCCTCCTCCTCCTCCTCCACCTCCTCCTCCTCCTCCTCCTCCTCTTCCTCCTCCTCCTCTCCGCCTGCTCCTCTACCCTCCTTTTTCCTCCTCGGCACTGGGCACGGACAACATTGGTACCTCACCAAAGGGCGCCGTCATCCGCTTGCATTTCCCATCCAACAAATTGCAAACTCACAAAACCTGTAAGTTCCCGAAAGCCCCAGACACCGCGACATATGACCGAAAATGTTTGAATACACAGAGGGGCGCGAAAGAACCAAAGGCTCCCTGAGGTCCCTGGATCCCCCTAAGTCGCTGGAATCCACAGAGCCAGATGCGCCCGAAATCCTCCCCCTCCCTCCACACGCGTGCGGGGTGAGGAGCAGGCAGGAGGCAGGGAGGAAGGAGGCACAACGACGACGATCACCACCAACCCCCTGGATCTCTCCAGGGTGCGTTCCGCCTGCAGGATCTAAGGGCCGGATCCAACCGTGGCCGCAAGAGCGCACCCCGAGGCCCCTCCAAAAGAAGGCCCCAAACTCGAGCCTCGCAGACTCCATCAATCTCTGATCGAACGACGACGGCGTCGCAATGCCGAATGCGCCTCCTTCGCTTCTGGGCAAGCGCACGTGCAGGGGGCCGCGTGCGGAGAGAGGAGGGGGCAGGAAAAGGGAGAAGGAGGAACGACGATGCCGACGTCGCAGTGAGGAGGGGGGGAGAAGGGAGGGGGAGGAAGAGGGAGGGGGGAGAGGGGGGACATACAAAGGAGAGGAGAGAAGGAAGAGGAGGGAAGAGGAAGAGGAAGCGAGGAGGGACTAGGAGGGCCGACGACGACGTCGCAGAGCCGAGCGTGGCGCCGCCGCGGCCAGCAGCGAGCCGGCGCAGAGTCCGCCTGCGCCACAGGAGACGGGCAACCACGAGGTGGACGAAGGAGAAAAGGGAAGAATAACGGATGCGGATGAGGAGGGAAGGTAGGATGATGAGGAGGGTGAGGAAGGATGAGGAAGGAAAGGAAAGGATGATGACGGTGATGATGATGCTGATGACGATGATACTGATGATAATGATGATGCTGATAATGCAAGGGTAATGGTGATGCTGATGCTGCGGATGATGATTATCTGGTGATGCTGATGCTGACGATACTGCTGCTGATGACGACGATGATAACACTGATGATGGTGATGATGCTGATGCTGATGATGACGCTGATTATGATGATGGTGTTGGGGATGCTGCTGAGGATGATGATGAGGATCATGATGATAGTGCTGCTGATGGTGATGATGTTGATGGTGCAGAAGATGAGATCAGGGTGATGAGGCTGCTGATGGTGATGATTATGACGATGTCGACGACGATGGTGATACTGATGATGCTGCTGCTGATGTTGATTGGGATACTGCTGCAGCTGATGATTACGATGATGGTGATGGTGATGATGACGATGACGATAGCGATGACGATGCCGATGCTGATTATGATGATGATGATGATGATGATGATGATGATGATGATGTTGATGACGATGACGATGATGATGATGATGATGATGATGATGATACTGATGATGATGACGATGATGATGATGATGATGATGATGATGATGATGATGATGATGATACTGATGATGATGACGACGGTGATGATGCTGATGCTGATGATGTCGATACCGATGCTGATGATGCTGAAGATGCTGATGTTGATGCTGATGATGCTGCTGATGTTGATGCTGATGATGATGCTGCTGCTGCTGATTTTTTCGTTGATGCTGCTGCTGCTGATTATGATGGCGATGCTGTTGGTGATTATGATGATGAGCCTGACGGGGAGGATGAAGAGGAGACACTTTGTGGAGGAGGAGGAGGAGGAGGAGGACCAATGTTTGTTGCCTTCTCGCCTTTCGTTACCGAAAGGGACGGCCCGAATTTCGCCCGCTTCCATTGATGGCCTCCAGGATGGCCCCCAAGGTTTTCAAAAGGACTCCAAGAAGGCCCCAGAGGAAAAACTGCTCCAAGAGGGCTTTAACATAACTAAACCAAGTATCGAAAGATCCGAGGCGGCATGTGTGGACGACTCCTGAATCCGCCCAAGCTGATCACGAGCTCCAGTTTGACGGCTGCCCAACTTCGGTTTGACGGCTGCCCTGCTTTTTGTTCCACTGCTTTCGCCTACACTTCCGTGGTCACTACAACTCACCTGGGCGTCGCTTCTGGATGGGCGGCAAAGATGCGCGAAGCAGTCAAAGTGACCCACAAATCTCGGACAACCGTCCAATCCACAAGCCTTACGGTGGAGCCGCCCACATGCCAGAGTGTTCCAGGCCGCGCTGCAAAGGGCCTGAAACAAGTTGCCCGTAAGTATGCCAAAGCTAATCGCTCCCTCTCTCTCTTCCCTCGCTCGCTGCCCTCGCTCGCTCGCTCCCCCCCTCTCCCCTCTGTGGACCCTCCGCGGCGGGGAAGTGATCAAAGGAACGGGCCTACCCTAAATTCGACTGCGACGTGGCTCGATTTGGCAAGGTAGGGTCTGTAAGTGACAGCTCAAGACAAGCAATTGCCCAAGCAACGGCAACAACAGTTCATCGACGCCAACCCACGCGTTTCGACATTTCCCGCGCATCGGGAAGTTCGATTCGCAAGAGGCCCGTCGTACCAAAGATCGCGCACTGGCTGGTTGCGAGAGCAGCACGATAACAGCCTACTTCCAGTCCGCCGACAATTCAGTTCCAGGGAAGGGGGCGCCCCCGAGCTCGTCAACGCACCTCCGGAATCCTCGGAACCTCAGCATCCTCCCTCAAAATGCCCAACATGCTTGCTAAGGTTGCTCCAGAAGTGCTCCTGCGCGCTGGAGTGGCCTCGTGAACGCCCAAGGTGGTCCCATGACACCGAATGAAGGCCTCAAGAGGAGTCCCAAGAGGGCCCCAAGAGGCGCATAGCATTGATTCCCTATGTTCTGAAACGATTTTGGCGTTCTCGCCAAGTGGGACATCTGCAATTCCAAAACGGCCGGACAGGCCCCACAAACTGGCCGAAGAGGCTCCTGACATGGTGAAAAAGGTTTAGGAGGTCTTCAAGATGGAAATGCAAAGTCAATAGGGACCCCGGAGGGCCCCAAAAAGGGCACCAGGACCCTGGGAGATCGCCCCCACTGCTCGATCTCGTATGTTAACGATCCGGTGTCCGTGTCCGTGCCGCTGTCAACCTTTGTGGGGTTACCCCAAATGGTCGCATCTGCAACCGATGGTGTAGTTGGGGCTGTTGGGGGCGCCCATGCGGTCAAGTTTCCTTGGCGCCTTCAGGCCCGTGGGGCGCTGTAATGTGGTGTCGGTGAGGTGGATATCCGCGTCTGCCAGGGCCGCCCATGAACTGGGCGATCTTGCCAGGCCTGCGTTCGAAGATGTGGCGTCGACTCCTTTATAACTTTCAGCAGTTGGTCGTATCCTTGTTTGATCCTTGGCATCATGCCGTTGGGCGGTTGGAGAAGAAACGCAACTTCGTATGGTGGGACACGGGGGGTCGTACCGATGCTGTAAATGATACTTGGAACATTTCGGATTTAAATCTAGCCGTGTCGGCTTCCATCCGTGCTATACCCACCTCGCCAATACGCCATTCGTCCTCTCATTGTTGTTGGCTCAAGAGCCCATGAACTCAAGCTCTTGCTGTAGCTGGTGGTCGTCTTCTCAGCTCTTGGACCGCTGCGCCAGGTAGTGCAGCAAGTGCGTCACGGGGTGAATGCGGACATCGTTGGCTTTCGCTCCGGGGTTGCGTGCTCGGTGCGGGACGCCTCGATCAAGTGCAGCCGCCTGCTGCGGTGGCGTCGTGCGTCCAGGGTGGGCGTTGAGCAATGCGTGCGCCTCGCGTGTACATGCGCGGTAGGGCGCTTTCCCAGCCAGGTCCCATGAAGGACCTCTGGCTCGGTCCCCCCCCGCTCTCGCATCGCATGGCCGATGAGCACCTCTATGGCCTTGGCCACGAGCGTGTAGATGGCGAGGCTCAACTCGTGGAGGCCGCTCGTGTCTCCATGAACGGCAGGAAATTGAGAGAGGTTCGCGAATCGGTGCTCCCCGATCTCGGAGATGGGGCAGTCGTTCGCGTTCCCTCGGTCGTGTGTTGTAGACGGTGGGGTCGCTGTTGTTGTTGTTGCTGCTGCTGTTGTTGTTGTTGTTGTTGTTGATGTCGTGGTGGAGGGTAAGGTCGTCGTAGTGGCGGTCGAGGTCCCTCGCGCGCACGAGGACGAAGTTGTGGGCGAGGTCACCGTTGTGGCGGTCGAGGTTCTACGCGCGCTCGATCACGAATTTGTCCAAGTAGGGTGCCCGGGAAGGGACGACCTTTGGTGACGCGGTCGGGTCTCCCGCACGCGTGCAGTCCAGGTTGGTGTCGTCAGGGGCGCAGTGGATGCGTAATGGTAGGTACCGATGAGGTGGCAGTTGCAGAAGGAGTCCACCATGCTCTCGAGATCCTCGGGTCTCCTCCTTTACCCTGGTGGTAGTCGGCGCAACTGCGCATCATCACGCCGACGGCGGAGGCAGCGGGTGCGACAGCCCCGCTACCAAGCTTGAACGGCAATCGCCACTTCATGCTGGGAGTAACGGTAAGGGGGGAGAGGTGCTGTGGGATGGCGATGGGACAGGAGAAGGGCCAGTTCTACCACCCCGCGCCGCAGATTGTGAGTAGCTTGCGGTGCCAGCCATTCAGGCAGATAGGGCGGCGCCGCCTTGAACCATAGCGGCGGCGGCCGAGCAAGTATATCAGATGCCCTCGGCATTCTCTCCAAATCTTCGGCGCAACCCGCCCCGCCTACCACGTGGAAGGCTGCCGAATATGCCTGGGGCGCGTTTTCTTCATCCAAGACGGCTCCGATATGGCCTTCAAGACTGCCAATCTGGCCTTCAAGACGGGTAAGGTAGTCCCGAAAGAGCCCAAGATGGCCGCCACTGTTCCCCAAGCAGCCCACATTACATCCAAGACGGCCCGATGGAGCCCCAAGCTAGCCGAAGACGGCCCAAGAAGCCCCCCAACGGCCTCCAAGACTGCTAAAGAGTCCCCCAGGGGTTATCCTGAAGTCCCGAAACCAAAACCATGGATCTCCCTTTGGCTTTTGACGGGTTCTCGCGTTTTCCCGACGGCCCAAGACGGCTCCAGAGGCACCCGACATCGCCCAAGATGCTTTCAAGATGGCCCGAAGGCGGCCCAAGGGGCCCCAAGACGGCCAAGGAGATCTCCAAGACGCCCAATATGGCCTCTAAGACGGCCTGGAGGGCCTCAAGTCGGTTTCCGACGGCGCCAGACGGGTCAGGAACGCCCTAAGACGGCCAACGAGGCCCACCGAAGCCCCCCAAATGTCCTCAAGGAGGCGCCCAAGATGCCTCCAAGAGGCCCCCAGAAAGCTTCCAGGAGGCCCCAAAAGTTCTCCAAGAGGACTCCTCCTCCTTCTCCTCCTCCTTTCGACGACCTGGTGCCCGCATGCTCGACTTGCCCTGCATCTGTCAGCTACCTGGCCGTGATTTTATGTTTGTTCGGCCACATCCTTAATCTTAAGTTTCGTTCCGTCGATCGCCTCACCCTTCACCTCCTTATCGGCTGCTAAAGCTGAAACCAAGCAAACAAAATGAGCCATACTCTGTCGTGCCCACTTTTGAGCCCTACTGTTCTCTCTGCTCATGGAGGCACGATTGGGCGAAAAAATCCGGCGAGGTCGAGACCGTTACGCTTTCAAAGAGATCCACGCCACATGTCTTATGGCTGGACGGGGCTCTGGCTCCACATGCGTTGAGACCTCATGCTGGGCTTTCGCCACTCGTTATTTCACACTTCATGCTGGGCGTAAGTCGGGCCTGTCCTCCTACAGGGGGATTTTGTACGAGAAAATTGAAATAAGCAAAACATATTA